TGGGATCGAATGGGCAGAAACTAATCAACCATAGGTGTACTCTCTGCAAAGAGGATACAACTCTGCAAAGAGGATGGTGAGGTGTGCCGTCTCTGCCTGGAACAGAATGAAACGAGGGAGCACTTATTGTTTCAATGCTAGGCGGCAGCCCGCTTACAATTGAGGTGCTTCGGAAGGCGCTATGGGACCCCGATGGAAGTCTCCTAGCCTGAGGGAACTGCCATACTGCAATTTGTTAGAGACCTACATATTGTATTAATGCAGGTGGAGATGGGAATCATAAGAGATCCTGTGGCTCAACGTAAGAAGGGTCTAAGTGTCTCGGTGTCTTACAGGAAAAAAAAACTTCCCTTACTCCGTATCTAGCGCAAATACATAAAAATATGACCTAATGCGATAAATATTTTCGTCGATAATGTCATCATAGTGACACGACTAACAGAATACGGATGAATATATTATTGATAATTTTAGTTCAACTCTATAGGTGCTTAATTTGTAATATATTTAAAGGAATAATAAAATCATTTTATTTTAATTTCAGTAAGACTATTTTAAATTGAATTCCATTTAGGATTACAAATATTTTCTTTATATAAAATTATTTAATTAAATGGTGCTTTTTTTTAGTTTTCTCGTGCGAAATAGTTTGTGCCAAAAATTTTTCGCTCTCGTAATTGCAGGCTATTATGTAATTCGTTATAAGAACCAGGAAATTAAAAATTAAAAAGAAGTAGTTTTCACATTGAAATTTAGAAAAACAAAATAATATCAACATTTCGAAATATTATCGGTACTTTCAAAAAATTCTCATTTTCAGTTGACCTTACAATGGGATATCTTCTCTCCTGAAAATATATTCTGTGAACACTCTCTGTATAGTTAGAACAGATAATTTTTCTCTCAATATTTTCAATTTTTTACTTTAAGTTCTCATAATAATTATAATTAGTTAAATTATTTTGTTATACATGCAAAATATCTTATAAAATTTTTCAAATAAAAAATTTTGGAGTGTTTAGAATCTTTAGTTTTTCATAAATCAATTAATTTTTTTCTTCTAATATAAAAACATATTGTAATTTTTTCATTATTTTTATTCTGATTTAAAAAAAAAAGAAGTATACATTCACAATTTTCGGTTGATTTATTTCTGAAAAAATTCATATAAGTACAAGTTTTAATATAAAAACCATTATTAAGTATTCATAGCTACTACTTTCATTTAGAAAAATATTTTTTAACCATAAAATTAGAGATTCTTATAGTTCATTAATAAATTTTTAAATAGAAAACTATACACATACATACATACTTTTTATTATAATTACAAAGATAGACCAAAGAGAAAACCATACACATCATTCGACATAATCTTATATTATATTATACATATAACATCAATATGTATATATATTATATATATACATAGTATTATGTTTATACACGTTAATTGGATGTTTCAACTAATTTAAATTTTGACTTGTATTTTGGTTATTTTTTATACACACATTTTTTTTCTTAAATTATTTTTTTCAAAATTCAAAAGTGAATAAAACAAAAAATAAAAATTTTATTGTTAATTGTTCCAATTTGATTTTTAATTTTTAATTAAGCTATCAAAATTTTTAGCTCAAAAAATTGGCTTTGATAAATGATTTTCTAAGCTTTATTTTTTTTTCAAGTTATTCTTTGGAATTTATTTTATATAATGATGGTTAACTTAAAACAATTATTTTTTTAAGGAAAATTTACTGGATCTTATTTTATTTTAATTGAAATAAATTATATTGGATGTTATTATGTTATTGATCAAATTTACTTGATCGAAAAATCAAATTTAAATTGAAATTTTTAATAAAATCAAACAAACAACAATATTTTTTATGAATCTTCTTTGTCACATCAATTTTAGGTAAATAGTGCTGTTCTATAAATTTCTGTAAATTTAAACTGCTCATATATAAGTTAAGTGCAAAATAAAATTTTTTTTGATATTTCAGCAGTAATACTGCAATAGCTGCAATAATTCTGACTACAACGAAAAAAAAAAACTCATTTAGTGATCAATTCCAATCAAATTCGCTTAGAAATTTTTAATTTCACATATAGAGGTGAATTTTTGCTATTTGATTTTTCGTGTTTTATATTTTTGACACCTCAAGCGTCGTGATTGTTCATGACAGTGTTGTTCAAATTCGAGCTTTAAATTCGTATCGAATCAAAAAAAAAAACAGTAAAACCATAATATCATTATAGTTACCAATCGTTTAAAAATCACTCAGTGGGTCTGTTTACACGTGTATGTCAGCATTTCTTTTATGCTTTTCACAAAGTTTCTTCTATATAAAAATTTTCTTTTCTATGAGGGGAGAGTGTAAGAGCCAAAGAAGAAGAACTGTGCATAACCGTGTAAAAAGGCCCTTTATATATATACCGTTTCTTAAAAAGTATTACCAGAATAGAATAAAATTGCATGTAAAATGTCATCATTTTTTTTTCAACTTATTCTATGGGCAGAAATCGAAAAATTGTAATTCAAACTTTGTATAGTAAACCTATATTAAGTTTCAATTCATATAGAGGAAAATTAATTATTTAAAATGAAATATATATACTTTTAACAATAAAAGTAGAAATTTTTAATTTTCCTCTTCTTCTTTATAGTTTTTTTTTCTTCCTTTTTTGTTATGATAATGTGAATGACCTGCATAAACGAAAAAGAAACAAATTCAAATCTTAATTGAAATAAAGACATAAGATATAAAAAATTGAAAAAGGAAAGCTTATGACTCACTTTATAAATATGTTTAATTGTATTTATTATTCAAAAATCCAACATAATAAAAAAAATTATATTGACATTTTCAAAATTCTATGTAAAGATTAAATAACAATTATATTAATTAATTAATTATTCAGTGTGAGCAGAACACACTTCAGACATTTTATATTTTATAGTCATCATTCGCAAAATACTTTAACAAATAAAAAAAAAAAATAAACAAAATTCATTTTCATAAGTTTAGATTTAATTTTGTTTTTTTTCAAAATTCCAAAAATAAAAAAATATTTTAAATATTTTATAAAATAGCGTTGGTCAATAACTAAACTTAAACGATTGCATATATATATACATATATATATATATATTATTTCTTTTTATTTAATTCAAAAGAAATTAATTTTAAAATTTAAGAATGAAAAATCATATGAGAAGAAAATCGAATAATTTTCGGATAATTATAAAAATTTATTATTAGAAATTTTAGTTTTATCAACAAAGTATTATGGTGTTTTTTTAAGGTTTTGACAAAAAAGCTGTCAAATTCACAATAATATATTAAATTACAATACATTAAATATTTCACTTATCAACGGATTCTAAAGAAATTTCGAATAAGACTTTACAAATATTAAACCGGACAGCAAGTAAGGCAATGAATTCGAAATGAATTGGAAATGAAATTATACTACAGGTTTACGGCAAGTTTTCGAAAAATTTTCACAGAAAGTAAAAAAAATGTTTATGTGCAAGTATTAGTAAAAGTAAAATAAGTGAAAAGTATTTCGGTTCACATTTACCGAATTCGTTGATATTTTGTCGTCCTTTTTTCAAACGATTTTTTATGAAAATATGGTGAATTTTTTGAAAAAGCGCTCCCATATATTTTTTCGCAAAAAAGTTTTTTTTAAAAAATTATTGTTTTTAAATTTTACAAAAAAAAAAAAAAAAAAACGAAAAAAGGACTTTTACGTTTTAAGAAAAAATATAATCAAAATGGCATATTAGATTCGATCTTATCGTGGTAAAAGTCAACTTTGAAAAATTACTCTGCATATCTTAACGAATATGATTAAACACAAATAAACCTGAAGATTTTACTAGATAATTATGAAATTTCTGTTATTACAGCTGATTGTAGAAATTTTCACAAAAAAAGTAAATTAAACACATACATACATATATTTTGTGTTTTTATTTACGTTATTACATTTCTTATACTTACATATATATAGTTGTTTGTTACATTGTGCAAAAATTGAACTTTTATCGCATTGCAAAAGAAGTTTGTTATAGACTATATAACCCTTATTTTGCAAATAAATGCAAATTTAATTTCTTAAAAAATCTTAGTTTTATATGCAATGTTAATCTTAAATCGCACAGGATTTTGAAATCATATTATATAATACTCATAATTTGTAAATATGGATGTTATCTATTTTTCTATTATAAATATACTTTTGATATTATGTTTTTAGGAAAATCACTTTGTTTTCGCTGCTTTATTTTTTTCTTTTATTATTTAACTTATAAGTATCGATAAATTTATTTACATATATGTATGTATGTGAATAGGTAGGTTTTGATTCAAATAATATAAATAAAATGTCCATATATTTATGTGTATTAATATATTATATACTCATATTTACGGTATAGATGGCCCTGATATTCGAAATAGTGAAAATTTACGTTATTACTACACAATTTAGCTCAATGTGTTATTAATTGCTTAGTTTTTGTAAACTACGTAAAAAAGTTTTGCTATTCAATTCAGCAATTATAGTCCATATAAGTTGAGTCGGATATAAATACCGTTACTTCTATAAATTTCGATGACAGGCTGTGTCAAATGTATTTCCATAAAAAATTCTACACATAATTGCATATCGTATAAGGGTCTATAAATGATACAAATGCAAAACATTTTTATTTACATACATATGTATATATAATATAAATTATTTTAAATATTTTATAATAAATAAATTGCGCATAATCAAATAATTATAATATAGGAATAAAACAAAAAAATTAAAAAAAAAAAACATAATTATCCTGAAAAAATTCGATTTTCGTTTCATTTTTAATGCATTTTGCAAAGTTAGCAAAAAAATTAAAGTTAGATTTAAAAAAACAAAACAAAAATAAGACCTACGCTTCTGTTATTGAAACGTGCGTTTTATACGTGAACGTCTGTATATGGTTTTAGATTCTGCAGAATTTACAAAAAAAAAGTGCTGACCGGAGAGGAAGAAATCAAAAAGATAAAGATGGTTTATCGAAAAACAACCTCATACTAAAGGTAAACGACAAAAAAAAGTAAAAATAGAAAAAAGTATAAACATAAAAAATCAAAAAACATTTTAAAAAGAATTTATTTTTTTTTTAAATACGCTTTGCAATTTTGTTTGAATTTTCTTTTTTTTTTTTTGCTCTTTGCAACATAATAATGAAAAAACTCAATATTGATAATTACTTAGAAATATTTTTATATAATAGAACATTCAAAATATTCTGTTTTAGTAGCTATACATAATTTTACACGCATATATATGTATATATGATACTTTTATATATATGTATCTATATATATATGATATATATATATATATATATATATATATATATATTGTACAAATATATATGTATATGTATATATATTTATATACGATTATATTTGATATATATGATATATATGATATATATATAATATATGATATATATGACACACATATATATATATATATGTATATATTATATTATGTATATATATATACATAATATAATACATTAATATATGTATATATATATATACATATACGTATGATATATATGTATATATTGTAAAAATATATATGTATATACATATATATATATATATATATATACGATTATATTTGATATATATGATATATATATAATATATGATATATATGACATATATATATATATATACATATATATATATATATATATATATATATATATGATACCATTATATATGATATATATACATATATATAACATATATGTATGATATTTCTTTATATATGTGTATATTGATACATATTTATTTAAAATGTATTCTTTTATTTTGTATACCATAATATATTAGATGTCCATTTGATATGAACAACACTCTGTTTTTATTTATTTATAATTATTGTGACAGTTTCAAATGATTATTTTTTAAACCATCAATAAACTATGAATTAGGTTGTCAATTTTGTTTTGAAAATATTTTCAACAGAGACATCTAGATATTTTATTTAAATTTATAGAGACATTATAACTTTTTATAATATTATTCGGAGAAAAAAAATCATTTTTAAATTTTAGATTCCCCAATTAATAAACAAACTATTGAATATTTTTTATACCTGCTTTAAATTATTTTATTCTCGAATTAAGAATTAAATATATATTAATGAAAAGTAATTATAACTATTTATAAATTATTGGGTTCCAAATAGCGTTTAGTACGTAAAATTTTTAAAATGATTCCATAAAAATTAAAAACAAAAATATAGGAAGTTTTTTATTCTATTCAATAAAACATAATTGTATAGGTATATATATACATGTACCATAAAATCCATTTATTTTTTTTATTAACAAACATAAGATAAATATAATATAAATTTTTTTTTATTTTTTTACAATATGTGTGTGTATTAAATGCTATTAAATTATTTGATATTTAAGTGGTGTTTATAAAATCATTGAATTATGGCATAAATAACTAAAACCATTATATATGTCATCCTATGACTTTGAAATTACATTTCTCCTGCATTAATACACAATTCAGTTTATGAATTCCAATTGTTGAATTGTATATTAATATCATATTAGCAAAATTTTGAAGTCAGGGATTATATACTTACATTATTATACATCAATATTATTTTATATGTATTAAATAAATTAAAAAAAATTAAACAATAAATTAACACAATTAATAACAATAAGAAATGTACATATATATATGTATATTTAAATGTACAAAAAACTAGAAGCTTTTAGAATTAATATATAACGAAGTAGGGTTAGATCAGAAATGGAAAAATGTGATAAATTTACTTTATTGAATAATTGGTTTTCATATTGCCATTTCTATATTAACATCATTAAATTTTGGAAAAATTAATCATTTCATAATAATTAATGGAACTAATAAATTAACATAAATATTTTGATAATTTATTATTATAAAAATATTTTAAATTGGAACGCGTTTTGTTAATGTTTCAATTTGATTTATTCAGATTTTAAAATGTGAAATCACTGAATAAATCAAGTTAACCTAAGATTTATATTAAGTTATATAAACACCTTAAAAATTTTATAATACATATGAGAATTCCTTTAATTTGGCAAATTTATTTCTTTAACATATCTCTAGGAGTAATTATATATATACACATACGAGTATAATATTTTCTACTATTCAATTTTGATTAAAAACACAATAATTAAGTAATTTTATTTTAAGAAATTTTTCAGAACTTTTAACAACTAATGATTATTCAAAAAAATATTGGTGTTTAAATTATGTCCTAAATCCTCGATTTTCTTTTTGCATTTATTTAGGGTAGAAATATTTTCCAAAACAAGAAAAAATTCTGAATTTCGTATTGTTTATAAAATGCAAATAATTTTAGCGTTTTCAAAATATCGGAACATTTTTTTACATATATGTATATTTGTGTATATATCAAAGAATATATTAACTATATATATATATATATATATATATATATATATATATATATATTTGCCGTTAATATTTGTAATAGTTTATTTATATAAAAATAACTATAAATTTTTTTAGATAGAAATCAACCTTGCACAATTTTTTTTTTATAGTTTAATTTCATGATACTTACTTAAGAATTTTACAAATTACAAAATAATAATAATTAAACAAAGCTAAAATTAAAAAAAAATTCAAAATAAAAATTTCGTCTACACTTTTTTTCTCTATTTTATTTTGCATTCGTAATTTTTTCTTTTCTTTTTTAACTTTTTTATTGAATAAATAAACATTTTTAAAACACATCATATGATTAAATAATAAATTTCGAGTACAAAAAATCTATTTTAATATTTATTTATTAATTGCATATATTGTATTGATATATATGTATATATATATATATAACATAATATAAATAAGTACAATATATATTTGTATAAATATATTTATATACATATGTATTTAATTACATACGTATATAAATATATATGTATATATATATTTATATATATATAGATTAGTTGTAATACAAATATGAAAATATGTGGCACGTTGTTTAAATTATAATTATATTTTTATATATTTATAAAGTAATAATATTAAAAAAAAGGGAGTATTATTAAAAAATTTAATGAAAACACTTAAACCCCCCCCCCCCCCCCCCCAATAAACAAAACCCCACTATCCTCCCAACCCAACTAAATTTAATTAAGGAAAAAAAACAATAAAATAAATAAATAAATTAATAAATAGTGTTTGTTCCTTAATATCTTAAGATATCCCTATATATTTTATTTTAAATTGCAATTATAAATAAAATTCTTCCATACAATGATTTTTTTTAATTGTTTGTTTTTTTTTTTTGATTTGAATTATAATTAAAAAAAAACTGTTATATTATATTTATTTGTTCATTTTAATCAATTTATTTGTTTATTTAATTTTTTGAGATAAATTTAAAAAATGCTTATCTTTGTTATTTCTTCTCCAATATGTTGTTTTTATAATTTTAGAAACAAAATATTTTTTTATGAACAACTAATAATATTCTATTGCAGTTTCTTAATATGGCTTCGGTTTTTATGCGAATATTCAATTTAATATGCATGATGCTGTTAATAGGCCATTGGAGTGGTTGTTTACAATTCTTGGTACCAATGCTTCAGGGATTCCCGTCCAATTCGTGGGTGTCAATAAATGAACTACAGGTAACACACACATATATATATAAAGTTATACATATATTGTATATTTAAATATATTAAAATATGATACGAAGTAAAAAGCCGAATTTTAAAGTAACGTTTCATTAAAAAAAAAATATGTTCGAATTTATTTCAAATTATATTTCTTTTATTTATTTTTATTTATAAATTGTAAAGAAGATTTTCTTTCAAAATTTTTAGAATAGGTTTTTTAATTTTTGTTTTATAATTTTCTTTGGTAAGTAATTCAATTAGGAGTTTACGTAAAGATGCCTAAATATTTTATTTTGTCGGATGGTCAACAAATCCGTTTTGGCCTGCAAACACTAGTTGCAGTGTGTTATGTATAATTCTTTTTTATCTCCATCTTCATAAAAATTATATGTACGATGGACTAGAGACTTTGAGCCAATGTGAACGTATTCAAGTGTCTTCCAGGCGGAGGATTATACAATTGATATGTGTGTGAATTGTGGAGAGTTCATTCTGGGCTGAGGCAGGCCATGGAGTTTTTGGTCAATTACAATTAGAAGTGGTGTAGGAAAATAACACGAATGAGTAGGAACCAGGTGAAAATGCTTGCAAGTCTACTGACGAGAAACTGCCTCATAAGGAGGTTGGATGTGGATGACTTGGGCACTTGCAGGTTCGTTAACCTACAGCAGAAAGGAGTCAATGGCTGGTTACGTCCTCGCAGCAAGAGTTATGCGAAAAAATGATCAAAGCAAAATACTCGAATTTGTCAGAAGGATAGGTCTTGCGTGAGCGCTTTAAGGGCACAATAGATCCACCCCTTAGGTCGGAGTGTATTGTCATCTCACGTCTATATAATACATATTGTAATCCAAACGTGTTGCTCAGGTGAATATTCAATTTGGTGTAATGTTGACGTGGATCAGATGCACATTAATAACAATATCTTATCTTTATGGTAAAATCTATTCGTGGAATGGTTAAACAAATCGAGTCGATTTTGCTGTCACCCGGAATAGTCAAGTGAAATGTAAAAAACAAAAATCTCAGAACGGATATGTGCGTTCTTACTTTTATTCCTACATATTCGCAAGTACCTAAAAATAACACAAAACTAAGACTTTATTTTATAATACAAACATTTTATTAAATTTAAAAGGAGAATATTTTAATTTCAAAAAATTTTATTTGATTTGAGTTTGAATATAGTACATAATAATATATAGAAAGGAGGCAATTTTTTCTAAAATTACTCTTTCGAAAATTTATAATTAATTTAAATTTTTATAATTTTCTAGGAGGCCTATTGGGTTGAGCAATATTCGTGGGCCTTATTCAAAGCTATGTCTCATATGTTATGTATCGGTTATGGAAGGTTTGTATTCGAATTTGAAATTATCAAAATAAGCACAAATAATATAAGAATTTTTTTTTAGATTTCCACCACAATCATTAACAGACATGTGGCTAACAATGTTATCAATGATATCTGGTGCAACATGCTATGCCCTATTTTTAGGTCATGCAACGAATTTAATACAAAGTCTTGATTCAAGTCGCCGTCAGTATCGTGAGAAAGTTAAGCAAGTTGAAGAATATATGGCCTACAGAAAACTTCCCCGTGATATGAGACAGCGAATAACAGAATATTTTGAACATAGATATCAAGGTAAATTCTTCGATGAAGAATTGATTTTAGGTGAATTAAGTGAGAAGCTTAGGGAGGATGTTATAAACTACAATTGCAGGTATAAAAATCTATAAAAATTTAAAATTTTCCTAAAGCGAAATAAAATGTAGTTATTAAATTATAAATCTCTTCCTTAATTTTAGATCTCTGGTCGCTTCAGTGCCTTTTTTTGCAAATGCGGATTCTAATTTTGTTTCTGACGTCGTTACAAAGTTAAAATATGAAGTTTTTCAACCTGGTAGATATTTAGAAACAAAATCAAATAAATTTTAGTTCATAAGTTTTTTTTAATAATGAACCAATTTTTTTTTTAATTGTTTTATTGAAATAAATTAGGTGATATTATTATAAAAGAAGGTACTATCGGAACCAAAATGTATTTTATTCAAGAAGGCGTTGTAGATATCGTGATGGCCAATGGCGAAGTGAGTAATCTTATTGTGTTTACTAAAATATATTAAAAAAGTAATTGAAAACTGTTACAATTTATTAAAAATTTTATATTTCTATGTTTTCAGGTGGCAACATCACTGTCCGATGGATCTTATTTCGGCGAAATATGCCTTTTAACAAATGCTAGACGTGTTGCTAGTGTTCGTGCTGAAACATATTGTAATTTATTTTCGCTTAGCGTTGATCACTTTAATTGCGTTTTGGATCAATATCCACTTATGAGAAAAACAATGGAAACAGTTGCTGCTGAACGTTTAAATAAAATTGGGAAAAATCCTAATATCATGACACAAAAAGACGAAGAATTAAATAATTCAGAATCACATACAATAACTGCAGTTGTGAATGCATTGGCAGCAGAAGCTGAAGAATGTAAAATGTAAGTTTTATATATATGTATACATATATGTATGTATATATAATATATAAATTATATATACGTATGTATACATCTACATATGTTTTTGCACTTTTTATTTGCTAAAAATATAAGGAAATTGATTTGCCATAAATGAAATTAAACCATTTTGCTATGTCACCTGGAACAATTAAAATTTGAATGGATTTTTAAATTAGTTGTCATTTTAGGGATGATAATGATGATAAAGAAACGTATGATGAGTCACACGAATCTGATACAGTACAGACAATAAAAAAGGGATTACCAAGGCCAAAAAGTGGAGAATTTAGGGCTCTATTTGAAGGAAGCACACCTTAAGTTGTTTTTTTCTTTTTTGTTATTAATGCTGTTATTATATAACTAAAAAAGAAATTAAAAATTATAGATTTATCAGGATGTTCTGTTTTAAAAGTTTAATTTATTAATGTTAAGTTCTCAAAAAGAAAAAATGAAAAAAAAATGAAAAAGAAAAAAAACCTAAAAAACAAAACAAGACATTATGAAAAAATATCGTACATTTTTATTTGCGAAATTTTATAGAATGTTTACTAAGAAAAAGTATATATATATATATGTATAAAAGAAATCACAAAAATTAACAAATGTTAAAAAAACTTAAAAAGTTTACAATTAAAAAAAAAAAAGAAATAAGTTATTAAAAAGCAAACAAACTCACCATCGTGATTCCCGTTGAAAACTATTATTTCGATTTTAAAATTATTAGTTTTCCGCAATATTTCGGATGTTTTATTTCCTTTAAAGAAAAAAAAAGATATTATGAAAACACAAAACAAAAGCATTTTTATTTATTATTATTGGAAAATTTTTTAAGGATTGAAAGCCGGCATTAGCGACTGCGTATAACATTGTTCGAAAGGAAATTCTTTTAATTATATTTGAAAAGTTACAAAGAAAATGGCTTATGTAAATTAAATATTCACAACTGGCAGTTATAATAGTGTAATGTTTTATAATTTAGCAGTTTACACTATCATTCTACTGGAGATTGAGAAAAGAAAATGGGAACTTTCAATAATTCAGGCATACACTAAGAATTCTAATTGAAATCTCAAAAATCTTTTCATACACACTTACAGATTTGCGGAAACTGAATATTTTTATTTTGCAAATTTTGCAAAAAAAAACTTGGAAAGCAGTGGGAACTATTTATCTATCAATAATTCTGACGAAAATAAAACTGATTTTTTAATGGATCTATTTAATTGATTAATTAATCTATTGTTTTTTGTAAATTTTTCCATAATAAGCATGTTCCTAATGGTATAACATATACTACTCGAGGAGTATATTTAGTTTCTAACAAACAACCAATGTTGTGTGTGTATAGTAAGTAGGAACTACATTTACAAAAAAAAAACCTTTAGTTTTGAAATTTATATGACATTTGTTCCTATTCTAACGATATAGGTAAATATATCAAAAAGTACGAAATCTTGTCATCAGAATTGTCATAATACTAGATCACATGATTTAGATATGAAGCATTATATATGTATAGGTAATTAGGTCGTTGGAGTAAAATTAAGAAGGGTGGGGAGAACATTTTAAGCCGATTAAATCACGTCGATTTTCTTAATTATGCAAACGCATCGCATAAGTTTATCATTTATTAAATCAGTTACTGATTTATTTATTAATTATTGTAAATCTTCAAAATATTGAATTTCAGTTCAATTAAAGTTCATAGTCACTAAGTTAAAAAAATTCTCTATATATAAAAAGAGAATAGAACAACATTATTACAAATACATTCACAAAAATATCATGTTTATATGATAAATACGAAGTATGAAGCAATATGCAAGTATCCTTTGCAGTAAAGATCGATCAAAGAGGCAATGAAACACCGTTTTTCCTTTCTATTATAAAGTTTTATATATATGAAATGTTTTCGTTTTTCTCTTTCACATTCCCATTCATATACCTTTATACTAAACCTACTAAAAACTTTATATGAGAATGTATTGAGTTAAGTGTGGGAAATATTTCTTTTTTGTTTTCATAATTCCTTTATCTCGAGTATTTCATTCATTATTTTTTTTTATATTTTGTTAGTGTTTTGAATGAGTTTGTGTATCCTGCGAATATCGGTCGTTTGCTTATTTCACACACATTTGAAAATTACTAAATGCATATACATATTTGTTTTCTAAAATAAATTCAACCAATAAGGGTAAATCTAATGTGTGCAGAAATGATAGTTTTATTTCATCAGTCGAACGACGTTTGCACACGCGATAAGTCACGTGCTAGAGGAAGTTAAAGTTAAAGTGTGCATATAGTGAAAACTGGATTTAGAAAACATAGAAAAAATAAAAAATAAAATTGTAATTTTAAAATTTAGATATAGTTTTTCGAATGGATCATTCAGTTCACTGGGGATATTCGACAGGACAAAATCATCCAGAAACCTGGATCCATAATACTCGTGGTTTGAAACGTGGTTATTCGGAAAGTGATGGTGATGAATTGTATTCAGAAGAATCTTCCAAGGAACAGTAAGTATATTTGATTTTTTTAATTTTAATATTGGAAAAAAAGTGTTATTACATTATTTCTATATTATCAGTGTTACCGTTTTTGAATTTTTTATTAATTTAAATCATTAAAGAAATAATTATTTTTTTTTTATAATATTATTTCAACAAAGAAATCTTTTAAAAGAAAGTCTAAAATATTACACAATTGTTTTGAAAATAAACTAGAAATAATTTAAATTTTCAAGAAAAAAAAGTTATTTGAAAATGTAGATATTTCAAATGTAAAATTTTAATAAAACACAATAATTTGTATATGTATATAAAATTGCATACTAAACAAAACAAAAATACACTCCAATATAAAATATAGCTAGTAAATAATTTTTTTTATAATGTATAGAAACTCTCCTGGAGCTGCCGTTGGAAATTGTCAATTATTAAATCGTAAAAAGCGACGTGGTGTAATCGAAAAGAAACGACGTGATAGAATAAATAATTCACTTTCAGAATTGAAACGGTTAGTACCGTCTGCCTATGAAAAACAAGGATCAACAAAATTAGAGAAAGCTGAAATATTGCAATTAACTGTGGAACATTTGAAAAATTTACATGCTAAAGGTACATATAATATGTTTTTTTAATTAATATAATATATATATAAGTTTAAGAGTGTTTACGTGATTCCAAATTAATCTGATAATTATATTTCAATCACGAATTAAAATTGTGTATTGCTAAATAAGTCATATTAGACTTGCATTTGTGTTAAATTATAGACTTCGTATTTAACCGGTGATGTAAAACCCATTCCATTGCATATGAAGAGCAAGAATGATTTTGTAAGAGTGAAAGCGGATATGTTTCGGGACTAGATGATTTAAGAATATAAATATCAAGAATTTTTATATATAAATTGTACAATGACCATAACCCAATGCCGAAAAATCCGAACAAAAAATTAGTAAACATTTTTATTATTGACCATTTATTTTTTAATTAAACTTGGATTTAAATTGTATTTTTGTGAATACTAAATTCATGTGGATTTCTGATCAAATGGAAATGAAATAATTTTTATTATTTGTGAAATCCATACTTAAAATTTACTGTACTTCTTTATAATAATAATGCCAAATTAGCAGTTTCTCATATATAAAATAAAATTTATATAAACTTCAAAAGAATAACCTTAAATATTAAGTGTCAAAATTCTTTGATGTTTATACGGAATGTATGTATATTATTTTCAAATTTTTTTGTTTGAAAGATGTACTGCCGCGTTTAGACAAAAAGCCAGAGTAGAATTACATAATACATGTTGTGTAACACATGATATAGCTTTAATCAATCCAAGAATCTTAAAGTATATTGATTTTTTATGGGATTTGAAAAAAAAAATGAAAAAAATTTTCAAAATGAAATCCAAAACTTTTTTTTGTGTTTTTATATATGTATAAAAGGCTTCTTAAACGCCAATCATTTTCAAGAAGAATTTTTCTACCATTTTTTTTTTTTTGCTTCAAAAAATTATTATAAAAAACCTTGTCTATGACATTCGTACAAAAGTATTGAGTTCGTTTGTTTGGGGTTGAAAACACGTACCAATTTATATACAACCATGCATACATAATTGTATACATACATAGATTTACTTTAAGATCAGATCACGTGCTGACTTTTTCAATTTTATTTTTCTTGAAACTTTTCAGTTAAGGGTGCAAAAAAAAACGTACAAATATAAATAAATTCGTATTGCAAATGTATTTTCTACATACATACATGCATGTGTATAAATGTGTAGTAAATGTATTTAACAATTCTAGTTATTAAAGATTTTTTTTTATTTACTTTATGTACTAATTCTTTTATAATTAAAAAGTTAGCAAACAATTAAGTTCATAAATAATTGTACCTGTTTTTGTCTGCATCCTATCTTCTTATGCACATGTATATGTATTTACAAACGTCTTTATATTCTGATTTATAAACGTGCATACGTACATGGAATGATTGTACAGTAAAATCAACTTTGAATTCGAAAACTGTAATATTTGCCGCCATAACAGTAATGCTTTCACAAAATTGAATTTGAAAGTAGGGTAACAGTACAGAAAGTAGGGTACACAGTAATAGTGTATTGCTACACAGTTCAGCAATTACAACTGATAAACTGAATTTTGTAGTATTATAGCGGATTACTTCAATTTTTGAAGTCATAGAAAAATTCTGAATGAAAGTTTTCTGATTCTGAATTTCTGATTTAAAATGTTTTAAGTTGAGTTTTAGTTCGTGATGATATGATATGAAATGCTAATGACTTCTTTCTTATCAAATATTAAAATTCTAGTTTAATTTTTAATAATTTATTTTTAATTTAATAAATTCTTAATATTGCATTAACAAGGAATAAAGAAAAGTTTAATATTAAAAATAATAAAAAACTTTCTGTTTGCTTTCTGAAAAATTAAAGCCGAAAAAATAACATTGTGAGCAGACCTTGGTTTTCATTTTATACGTTGTGCCTTTAATTTTAATTTCTTATAAAAAAATATACATACACACATATATATATTCATTATATACATAAGTTTATTTAGTATGTAATAAAATTTCAACCTACAAACACAATTTTTTAATAATAAAGCAACAAAAAAACTTAAGTCACGTGCCAGCGATCCTTTTTTTTTGTTGTTTTCTTTATAAATCATAAACTCTAAATATTGTATAAGTAAGCAAACCTTAAGAGAACTGTAAAATAAAGAAAACATAATGTTATTACATACATACAAATATATTCATATATATTCTAACCAAATAGCAACAAATCCGGTTAATTATTTTCATAAAATCAGAATTAAATAATTTTTTTTTAATGAAATATTCTTGAAAAATCCAGAAACTTAAAGGAAATCGTATATAATTATGTACTTAATAGGAAAAAGGTCAGGAAGATTTTAATTTTTTCATATTATGAAAACACAGATTTTGAATTATTTCCCAATTAATCAGATGTAAATAGCATCGAATATTATGTTACATATATTTACCAAGCAATTGGTAATTTTCGAGTACTTTTAGCTTCTAATAAGAATTTTTAAGCAATCTTGGTTCTTAAGCTATAACGATTCTGGCTTGATTTTTTGTTATATAAGTCTAATATGCAGAACATATTAATATTGTGTTTGTTCTATAGCAATGTTACTTACACCTTGTCATACAGGCCCGGTTCTAAAGCATATAATTTCTTTGAATTTCTTAAACTATTCAGTTTTCTATTAAGATTTTTGAATTCTGTATTTATTCAATTTTGTTCTCATATTTCTTTCATTGGTATTTGGTTTTGATAAGAGCGCTGATATTCGAAACGATCTCATTTTTCGAATAGATCATCGAACTTTTTTCGAAAAAGATCGAAAATTTCGACTGGAATATCATCAATTTTGTTTTTTAAAATTATACAATCGATAATAAATGGTCAAAACTAATAAGACACTTTACACCACGAGATCTTGTCCACTAATTTATTGATCTAGAACGTGGAATCAATTGTTTATGAATGTTTGACTCGTAACATCCAGATTCCATTCCGAAATAACAATTACTATATATTGACAACCGTAGTAAATCACGCGTGAAATATCAAAAATAAATTTATTATGGAAAAGGAAAAAAAACCACCCATTAGTAGACAAAGATTCTATAATTTAGCAACCTGTTATTCATTATGCAATTACCAATTAAAAAAAATTATAAATACATTCATACATACTTGCATATTTCATTACTATACGTCAAAAAGTTGAATATACACTTACATACATTCTTTTAAATTGATACGAGTATTGCGTTAACCCATAAAATTTGATGAAAGGGTGCTATGTTTTTTGTTTATCCGATCCTATCTATCACCTGAAATTTATTTTTAATTTTTCTCAATTGTGTAAAAACAGTGTATTTATTATTTTGTTGGGTAAAAAATTTCAAAATAGTATCGATGAGTCGAACAATATTGTTTTTATTTGGTTTGTATAAATATAAGTGGGTATTTGTCAATAAAGGAGTTGATCATTTCATCAAAGCAAGAAAAGCAAAGTGAAAAACAAAAACTATTTTATTTTAGTCCCACGATACTATACGGATTTTATGAATGTAGGTATACATGTGTTTCTGTATTCTTCTTACACAGTACGAATCAATACAAAAATCAAAAAAGCAAAAACGACAAATAAAAACAAAATTTCCTTTGTTTCCTACCCTCTTACATGCTTTTATCTCTTTATTGTTCGATTTTCAACTTTTTGAATGTATAAAAATATTCTTCGAATACTAGAACTATACTCGGATATCGAATAGTGAAATTCATAAGGATATTAAAAAAAAAAAAAACATACGGAATTCCTTATAAAATTATTTTTATATTCCTCGGTATATGCGTACATACATATATGTATATATATACATATTTATGTTTCTACTCTCCCTTATACTAAGGGTATAACACTTAGTTTTTTTGTGAGAAAATTTACTTTCTCATGAACAATATTGAATTGAATTGAAGGGTAAAAAGGTAACTGGTTACAAATAATATATATGTATTTATAAAAGAATAATATTGTAATAATGTAATGTGAATTATGTGAGTTTGTGTGATGTTTTTTGGAAGGAAGATTGTCATATAGGAATAATAATTTTAATTTGCACGTTTTCGTATTGGAATAATATTTTAGATAAAGTTCATAATCGGTTTTCACCCCCTTTTTTTTTAATTTTTAGTTTTCATTTTACATACATAAATGGGATCGTTTATAAGTACATGCGGATTATTGAAATATTTAACCACTATATAAAATTTCTCCTATCGAGTAAAATTATATGAGAATATTATATATGTATGTTCCCACGCTTACTGAGTTATTGCAGCAAAAGCGTGGGAACATATAATTTTCCTTGTTTTTTGTTTTTCCTTGTTGAATATTTTACGTTTATGAGTATAGGTACTATTTATTACTCTCAAATTTTAATATTTAAGTTGGATATGAGAAATTTACTATGTAATTTTTTTTTTTTGTTTTTTTGGAAAAACTTTGCGAAGAAATTCTATTTAGAATTAAATATGTAAATAAAAATAATAACAAAATTGTATAGTTGACCTTCTTAAGAGTATGTTTTCTCTGAGTGACTATAGAGATAATTTTGATTCTTATTATAATTTTCTTGTTGAGGTGTTCTTGCAATGGAAATAATTTTAGTAGGTCAATTAAAAATCTGTATAAAAAATATTATGAATTTATTTTAAGTGTAAAAGGAACACGAAATTCTGTATTGGGTGTTTTGTAGTCTGTATAACATGTTTGGTCTTCTGTAATAATTTTACTTTAATATATAAAATTATTTTTAAAATTAATCATGTACCCATGATTTATTTTTAGTGCAACAAGTTGTCTTGTTTTAGCAACATTTGGAATAAAAAAAAATGAAAGTACTTGTCCGGCTCTCGGGGCCAATATTTAGCATAAAAAATATATGTATATATAAATATATATTTCTTTTTTCAAAAAGCAACCACAAGTGTTTCAAACATTTGAAAATTTTTGAACCCCAAAAAATTGATTAATGTTTATCAGTTATTTTTTAACTGAGTCATCATGAAAAAAGACGTACCTACACAGACAAATAATTAAATTAAACCAAGTAACTAAATTTTTTCTAATGATCAAAAAGACTGATTCCTGTAAAGAACATGATAACACGTCTTTATCTGTAACAAAAGGCAACTTTATTAAATTTGGTATCTCGTAATTTTTAAAAAATTAAGAATCAATCTCCCAAGTGGATTAAACACAAAAATATTAAAAATTGATTGATTATCCACATAACGGGTTGAAATTTTTGATAAATTTATTATATGTGTATTTATATATGTGTGTGTGTACTTATTCTTGTATTCTATAATACCATTTTATTATGTAATACTATTATACTTAAAAGAAGAATTAAATTTTATAACAAATTCTATTGTATTTGTAACAATTTTAGGTATAGATGGAACGTCTTGTGATCAATCACGTTTCGCTTTAGATTATCACATAATAGGATTTAGAGAATGTGCTGCTGAAGTTGCTCGATATCTTGTAACAATTGAAGGAATGGATATTCAAGATCCCTTAAGATTACGTTTAATGTCACATTTGCAATATTTTGTTCAGCAAAGAGAATTAAGTGCTAAATCAACAGCCGTAAGTGGTCAAGTGGCTAGTACTGCATGGCCTGTAAATACATATCATCATCAAACAACAAATATGCATCATCATACACCATATCAAGCATATTCAATACAACCAAATGCATCAGCACCTTATGCTCAACCTATACTTTCACATCACACCAATTCAACAACATCATATACACCATCATCAAATTCGCACAGCCTCTCTGTACCACCATCAATTCAAAGTGATATAGATAATGTTAGTGCAATGTTAAATCCAAGTGATCATCATTCAACACCACAACAACATACAACAAATCATTCAACACATCATCAAGCAACTGATCAACATCAAAGTTCAACTTCAAATTCAAATGATTCTGGAGCAAATCGCCAATTGCCACAACAAGAACAAACTCAAACACCCAATTACGTAAACCATCATCATCAGCAACAACAAACAACAGGTAATCCAACTTATACAGAATTAACTACAATAACTAGAAGTTCCGGAGATTATGGTTTAACATATTTACCAAATAGTAATCAAGAATATGGTAACACTACTCAAAATTCAAATTACACAACAAATCATAGTAATAATAAACCATATCGACCATGGGGAGCGGAAATGGCTTATTAAAATTTAATGGTGTGATTTTATTAATATTTTCGACTAACAATTACTAAGTCATATGTCATAAGTATAGAATGTGGACCAAAGTTTTATTTATACTTTTGTAAAATAAAAAAGAATTTATAATAGGATAAAAATTAAAATGTTCTCTTTGTTAAAATTTATATTTATATAATTTACAATGTAAGTGAAAAACATAAATTTATGTGTACAAATTTTACCACCACATAGAAATTTTTTTAAATTATACAACTGTTCCTTGTATCAACATAGTTTTCATAATATATTTATATTTATTTTATAAAAAAAAAGCTATTTTTATAGAATTAAAATATTTTTTATATTTAAATTTTAATTTGCAGTTAATTTAATTGATCAACTGTCGTCTAAGGTTTTATTTGACTTAAGCAAATTTTATTGATTTCTGTATTTTTTCTTTTAAGGTATATAGGATTACACTCATCGTAGTGAACAATTCAATAAAATTTCATATCCATATGCACATCCACCCATAATTTCTAATTTTACGAGATGGCTTTCATTTGAATTACATACTTTGTCTGTGTACGTAATTATAATTGACAACTGCATATTATGGGGTCTTCAGGTTTGATATGGTTTATTATATATACACCAGATATAAAAGTGTAAATTGATGGACAATTTATTTTATTTTCGTCTTTTTCTTTAAAATAACAAGATGCCTTTTAAAATCTTTTGCATATTATTTCGAAGACAACAGAAATTTCCGATAATTCAGGCACTTGCGATAAAGTTCTGACTGAAAGCTTAAATAAAAATTCTTTTCCATATTTATATATTTATTGAATAATTATATGTGTATTTATATTAAGGTTTAAAAAAGAAGTTCTCCCCAATAATTATCGAAAATCCCAAATAATTCTGTAAAATAAAAAGACAAATTGAATAGTTTCCAAATTCAACGTATAACACTGGCTTTATTATAATTTCTTTTTTTTTTTTTTTTGTAATATATTAATATGTGTATATTTATGTTAAATACAATTGTAATAATAATAATGGAACAACTTAACTAACTTATGTATAGGAAAAAACTTGGTATATGATAATATTTTTTCTTTTTAATTACAATACAATACTTTAAATGGTTAAACTTAAAAGTTTTTATTATGAGATCGTAGAGAGATCAAACAACATCATCAAAGCGAAGATATTCACCTAAATACCGTTAATATCTCCTGTTTCGTAAGTATATAATTATTATAAATTTCAATAATATTATAATAAATTTTATTATTAAATACACATTTTAATGATTTTTAATATATAATTTCGTTTGGTAAATATAATATACACCTAATGATATTTAGCTGCGTTTCAGTTGTAATCACTATCTACACGATGTTTTAGATTTTCCTGTAATTGAAAATAAATTCAAAATATTAATAATGTTATAAAATTTTTCAAAAAAAAATAAATTATTAATCAAAAATATTAAAGAATTTGTTAGAAAACATGTTAAAAAAAATTGACATACACAATTTTTAAAATTTTAATTAGGAGAGTAAAATTAAGAACAATACAATGGAGACCAGAGTTTGAAAAAAAAAGCCCCTTCCTTAAGTTTAAATTTCTAAGCTTTAAAACTTTCACATTTAATTTGCAAATAGAACGTTTATAGAATTGGAATTCTTAGTGAGAAAACTGTTTCCCTAAAAATTTTTTTATAAATTTTAAACATTCAATTATCACTCAGAGAAAATGTGCAGTTATTTTTCACAATTATTCACATACCATGCTACTCCAGAAATATAAAAAATAAATACATAAGTTTGTGTTTAGAATTCGTCTATTACCAAGTTTTTGGATTTACGAGAAGAAAATGCATGTGACATTTTAAAAATCAATCTAAAAATTTAATCCGATTTTGTATTATTCTTTGAATTTTTTTAATTCAAATAACCATCTCATTCTTGATGCAATCTATTCTAACTATTCAGCAACTGAAATTTATGTTGCTGATAAAATCAAGCGGAATCAATTAAGTCAATCAAAAATTTATATAAAAAAAAGAACATTTGATTTCACCAATTTGCTTATTATATATCATCGTCTCCCACAATGCATACTTCTTACATAATCACATATAACGAATACCTATATATTTTTCATGAGTATATTATATTAATTAAATATTCTTATTGATTATAAAATTACAAAATCCCTATAATTCCAAATTTAAATTAACTTAAAAATTAATAAAATTTTACAAAATTTTTATTAACTTTATTTTATGTCGTGTATTCTACCAAATTTTGTTTTAATCCGTGTATTATAATTTTTTACTCAATTTTACAATTCGCTCACATATAATTTAGCCTGACAATAGTGGCTCAAAAAAAAAGTCGGACAACTCGAAAATATATTTAATCAAATTTATAATTAAAATTTCGAGTTAAATTTGAATTTTTGATGTTACTCAGAAAACTCCAAATTTTATTTTAATATAAAAATCGTTACGTTTTAGTTAATTTTTTCCATACAGAAATCGAAATGAAAATAGGCAAAAGCCATAATTGGAAAATATTAACAAAAAGAGAATTTCTAGATAATTTGCTATTAAAGATGATCAGATGAAGAAGTCTTTAACCAAGCAACAAAATTTAGTGATAACAACGGGAGGATCACGGGAATTGTTTAGAAAGTTCTCCACAAAACTAGGCCTCCTTCATTTTATTTTTAAATATTTTAGTTCAATATTCAAAAGTTTAATATTCAAAACAATTATCGGACGGAATTTAGCACCCAAAAAAGAAGAGAACATCTCCGAACTAAAAGTGCTTTGGAAGTATTCAAACAAATATTTTACATCTTCCTTTTTATAATTTTTGCATGCGTTTGAATCAAATTTATTTTACGATCATTTGCTCATTTCTAATTTGTTTTTTATCATTCTAAAACATAATTTTTTTTTATTTATGGGTGCGCTTAGAATATTAAAAATAATAATGACATTAATTAAATGAGGTTTTTTATGAAATTATCTAACTTACTTTTTCCTTTTCCCTGTGCCAAATACCTTTAAAAATTATTGAAATTTTTATTTTAGTTTAAAAATTTTTATGAAAATTTGTTTTTCATATTACATACATAAATAAATAAATTATTGTAATATACAATTATAATTATATAATTATAATAAAAACTGATGCTAAACCGGAAATAATTAATAAAATAAAAAAAATATATATATTTTTATTAGTACATAAGAAAACTATTATTTACTACTAAGGTCATGAAATATTATGTATTTAACAACGGAATTTTTCATAGCTAAAAAAAATTGTAGCAAAATTAAAAAAATGAATTCTAATAATCTTCTTATTATTATGAAACAAGTTTGTGCAAGGAAATACATTTTTAATTTTCATGTCAAACAAAACATATACATACATACATACATAATTATGCATTCTAAAGAAAAAATGATTTGCTACAATATTTATTTAAAACTATAATTAGTATGTACAATATGTATGTACTATGTGTTCGAAATTTTAAAAATTTTAACAAGGCTTTTGTGCCGAACTTTTTGCTGTATTCTATATATGTATGTATATGTACTCAATTTCATAACATTCTGCATAAAAGGGCAATCAAAATTTTAATCAATTCTATTACATTTTTAAAATTATTCAAGCAAAATAAATAAACTTTACATATATATACAATACATTCGTTATGTATGTACATATATCCTTAACTTGACAACAAAAAATGTGTTATTAAGAATTAAGAATAAAAGACGACTTGACTTGTATGTGGATTCAGTCAACAATATTGTAAAGTTAGCATATCACAGTAAGCATTTAGCGGTAGTACAACGAAGAGGAATTTTTAAGATTGCGTTCTTTATTGCATGGAGCAAGAAAGACAACTGGGAACCATAAAATAGGTGAAAATACAGATTAGGCAAATATAAAAACGAAGACAAGAAGGCAATAATTAAGGAGATAAATATATTATTGGACTTATAAATCCATTGAAATATCAGAAAAATATAAATATGGTGAATTTGTTAAGCATTTTTTATAATGCAGTGAACATTTAGCCTCTATGACAACATAGAGCTTTGAATATAGGAACTGCAATGGGACGGAGAGCAACGGAAACATTCGGACGCAGTGGCAGAAATGAAAATCGTGAGAATAATACGAAAGAACTTGAAAGTAAACATATAGATATATTGGGAATATTCACAGAAATGCATATTATGGATAGTTTTCAAAAATATTTCTAAATTATTAAGAAATTTATTCTTCGCATTTTAAAATTAATAACTATTGCGGATTCCGAAAATTTTTTAATGGCTAATTTTTTGAAAATTAATGAATTAGTTTCTTGGTTTCCACCAAAACTAATTTTTTTCTTGCTTTCCACCAAAACAATTACCATTTATTATGTAACAAACACGAAAATATTATGAAAATAGTTAAAATAATTAAAAAGGAAAAAAGAAATGCAGTCTTTAAACAACGAACCTTTAGAATTATACTACAGATCACAGTCTCTAATATTAATCAAATACTGAATTTGTCATGAAAAATAAAAATTTGTGCAAATATAATGTTCAAAAATATAAGGGAGATTTTTTATCATAGCACTTTAAAAAAAAAAAAAAAACATTAATTTTCATTATTCTAAAATAAAGAACTAAAGCTAGGCGCTAAAATTAACATTAGTGTTTTTTTTTTCAATGTTTTAGCATAATGAATGTCTCGCATACCATTTCTGTTGTTAAAGAATTCAATGCGTCATCAGCGCTCTTTCTTCCTGATTGAATAAAACCCTGACTTGCAGAGTAATCTATAATCATTAACAAAAATTTGTTTAAAATAATAAAAAATAAAATTTAAAATCTGTACCACTAGAACTTGATTCAGTTAAACTTGGTGTTCCTTCTGTCCAAGTAGATGTTGAATCTTCAATGGAAGCTTTAGATGAATATGAAGACATAACTAAACTATACTGACTATTTGGTTCAGGAATTTGCAAAGGATCAGATCTGTTGTATTATACAAAATTGCCAAAATAAAAAATGTTTAGTTAAAATTGAAAATTATTAATATTTTTATTGTGTAAACTTTGTTTTGTAATTTAAATAGCTCTAATAATGAAATCATTGGGAATAATTTTAAGTATATAAATAGTAAAAAGAAAAACAATTACAAAGTATTTTCAACTTTTAAATAATAATTAAATTAGAACCTTTAAGGCAGTGATTAATAAACAAACAAATAAATGAAAACTATGTGATGATAAAACATGAGCGGTCGTAAAAATACTTTTTAATTTTTTTATAAAAAATTCATAATTTCTTATAGGTCCATTCCTAATATATAGTTGGAAATTTTGATAAAATATAACGAATGTCTTGACGAACGCTCATGGTTTTCGAAAAAGAAAAAAATAAAGTATATTAATTTTAACAAAATTAAATTTCATGATTTTATAGAATATGAATTTATTTATAATCTAGCTAGGGCTAAATTTTAATACCGTTAATTAAATAGGTATATCGCTTAAAACTGCACATTTACTAAAGCCTAAAAATATGATTAATTAAATTTAGAAATTTACAAAAATTTTGGAAACTTCAGAATAAACAATCAATATAAAACTCTTTAATATACTTAATAATTAGTATACATAGATAATTAGTTTAATTTAAAAAACCAAATTTTTACCTTGTATTAGCTGGACTAAGCTGCACATTTGACTTTGAGGATATTTTACTTATATCAGGAGATTTACTTTGGACACCATCTTGGCTATCAATTGATTTCATTGAATGTGATGGATTCGATGAGCCTAGCAATACAAAATGTAAAACGAAAAAAGAAAAAAATAATAAAATGAAAGCTCAAACCAAGGCTAATCTAATTCTAAATTCATACTTAAAAGCTATTAATACTATTTTGGGTATTTTCTTAATCAATAAAAAATAGCTTAGGTGAAAACAAAATCATTATGTATTAAAATGTTTTGTTTTTTTTTTCTTTCACTAATGAGAGCATAAAATATCAATGAAATAAACTCTTTTTAATCTCAAAGAGATCGCTAAAAACATCAATGAAATTCTCTTGATTATTGTCGTTAGTGTCATTTCCATCGATAGCCATTATAATATAATCATAATAATCAGATTTGTTACGTTGCCGGGCTGCTGATGATGACGTTTTTACTTTATATTGTCCACTAATATCTTCAAAAGCACCACTATTTTCATTTTGTGGTATATTTTGTGATATAGAAAAATTTTTTAATGAAGCGGTGCCAGTATTCGAAATAGCACTTTGGCGTCGTTGCATTAAATATGAATAATTAAGACCTGTAAAATCTGATGGTCTTCTACCAGTAACAACAAGTGTTTTTGACAGATTATCTGGGTAAATATTATGCTTTTTGTTTTTTGGTTCAAAATTTTTTATAATGTCATCATGAGCTTCAAGCCAATCTTCAACATTATTCGGGCACCATTTTTGTCCAAATATAGGTTTAGAAAAATCATGCTCGGGTATTTTACTAGAATTTCGATGATCGATGCTCATTTTCCGATTTTCTGTTATTTATTTATTTATTTAGTTTTGTGTTTTGAGACGTAAAATATACAAAATAATTTACCCAAAATTAAAAAAAAAAAATTAAAATATAATTTTCACATAAGAAAGTAGAAACTAAAATTCATTGCGAAATAAATCGATGTAAAGTAAATAAAAACAAATAAAGTATTGACAAAAATTTTTACAACTCCATCAGTAAAAAATATTCTATCTTCTTATTTCGTAAATTAAACTAATTTTTATGGTTTTTATTTAAAAAAAAAATCCTTTAATGCAATACCTTTTGAATTAAAAGCGTCCTTAATTCGAACTTTAGCTTCATGATGAGATTCAGCTGGTGGTTTTGGTGAACCACGTGGCGGTACTGGAGGAGGAACTTTAATTCTTGACTTTTCCTGGCTTTTCGCCCTCGCTTGAACGGGCGGATTTGTAGGTGCAGCTTTGAAAACTGCTGGCTTTGGTGCTGAAATCAGTTTTGTAATTGTTAATAGAATTGAAAAAACTTAAACAATATCATACTATACATATTACATTATGCAGAAAATGGGTAGCTTTTTGTAAACAAAAAAAAGAAAATTCGATTGTGTAAATGTATTTTTGGTGGAAAAAAAGTAATTTTTTTAAACTAAATTGCTAAAGCTTTATTAAAAAAAAATATATAATTAAGAAGATATATATTCGAACCTGAATATATTATGATGACTATTCGCAGTACCAGTTTCCCCTTGAAAACTTTTTTATTTAATTAATAAATAACCATAGTTATCAGTAATGAACTACTAAAAACAATTAAAATTCTAATGTAAAATTAGTCCCATCTTAGTTTATTTTTGTTTTTACATTTTAAAGCTACCACCAATTATTAAAATTAATATTATGTTTTCATTCCATTATTGTTCTTACCTACACCATTAGTATCCTTTTCAGTAGTAGTAGTAGTACTTTGATTTTGAATAATTTTTGATATACTTTTTCGTTTCGATGGGGAATGCTTTAAAGCTAGAATTTAAAAAAAAAATTTAAAAACGCATTTCGGCTTAAGCATTTTGCATTTTTTAATGCATTCATATTGAAATTAATCCAATTATCTTTAAAAACTTATGAATATTGTGTGAAAGGCCCGTAAAATTCTGGTCTCGTTAATTAAAAATTAAACTTACCAATGTAACTTGATACAAGAGTCCTAAATTTCTTATGTGTACCTTTAATTTCTGGCAAATCCACTATAAAAATAAACAAATATTTGAAATATTCGGCAACATAGTACTATAATCAATATAACTTACATGATGGTATCTTTTTGAAAACGGTTTTGGCCATAAAATTTTGAAATCTTTGCGCGTAAAATGATGGTCTACAAACTGAGACGGTTTCCTACATAGGCATAATATTAAAATTTTAAATTTGTTAAAAGAATTTTGTTAATAACAGAAATTTTAATGTTTTTGTAGCTTTGTGTATTTCTCAAATAAGAAAGTAAATACATTTAAGAAATATTTAATTGCACTTTTCTAAAAAACAAAATAAATTAACTTTCCTAAAAATCGCCTTCAATTTTTTTATATTAAAAAAATAAAAATAATAAATTTTTGAGGCTTTTAATTATTACTATTTCATGAAGTGTAAGGGACTTGTGAACTCTTATTTTCTTAGACAACAGAAAACATCGAATAAAAATTGAAAATATTATTATTTTTGTTTGAAAAAATTTAAAATAAATTAAGATTGATTAAAATAAAATAAAAAATATTAAGCAAAAAACATATTAATTACAAAAATAATAAAAACAGATAGATAATATTGCAATTTAATATCAAAAAAATTAACTATTGCTAAAGTGATTTGGAATTACAAATTCTTACACCATCGTGAATAATGCTTTTAACTGTGTGTTCTAATTTCTTTTTTAAGCGATATGATTGCAATATGTCAATTATTCCGATGAACAGCAACAGTCTTTCTCCTTTTTCACTTCTTGCAGGAATTCCGCCTGGACTATAAGAAAATTAATTGGCGATTCTTTTAATATTTTCTAATTAATTTTAAAAATTGTTTTGAAATGAGAAACTCAAAATTATATTGTAGACGTATCTAATTTTGGCGATAAGATCGAAAATCTTTAAATATTTTAACCTTTAAGTAATTTGAAATTTCACATGAAATTAAAAGAAACATACATACATAATTTAAATAGTTTTGAAATTACGAAAAATTTGGAAGAATATTCGACATGACGCAGATAAAATTGTTATTCTAGTTCATTAGATAATGTCATAATAGTTATTTCAAGAACAAATATATATTTTGTTCATACAAACATTATGTATGTATGAAAATTTTTATTTCTTTAAAATATGAAAGCAAGCTTATGGTTAAATTTTTTTTATCTACTTACGGTACATCATCTTCTTCGTCAATCGGTTCGCTTTCTGCTTGTATACTTTCCATTGCAGTAGAATGTGCTACGAGCCTTTGTCGATTAAATGATCTATAACAGAAACTGTAAAATGGTTTCACTAAACAGATGATTATTCAATAATTTTGGTTTTTTTTACATTTGCAAAATTGAGGTATATTACAAATTTTTATATTTAAAATAAAGCATTACAGTAAGTCAAAGCAAAAGATTATTCAAAGTACTAATTACTTAAGATTATCATGCCAATATTTTTTAACACAAATTTTTAATTAAATAATATACATGTTTACTTACCAAATATAATTATTTTACATTATGCAAAATACAAGGAAATATTAATCCATCGTTGCCGAATATACGAAAAAAAAAGAAAAATTAAATTATAAAAAAGTGCTTTTATATTTAAATAGTGCATAGTAATAAAAAAACAAAATTTATTTATAAAAATTATAATTCCAATGCCAAAAGAATTTACTCATACAATTCGAAACTTGAAGACAAAAATTAAAATTAACATTTAATACACATTTTGTTTGGTGTACATTAAATGTACAAAAAAATACTAATGAGAAATAACTACATGTTTTCAAAACATCACAGATTAAAGAATACATACATCAATCGCACATACTTAACACAGAATAGACAAATATTTTAAAAATATCAATTATTATCATTAAAAATTTTCGTTATGTTATTTACATGTTAGAGCTATTAAATTATTACTTACTTATTGCGATTCAAAGTTCTAGCACGAGCACGTACATCTTGAGCCATGCATTGATCTGCTTCTGGGGCATCTTCAATGTCGTCTTCCAATTTTGGGAAATTTCCTTTACTTTGTGAATGATGTGCCTTTTGTTGATGCGATTGTTGGTGTTGAGGTTTTTCTTGTTTTTCTTTTAAAGCTAGATCTAAATTATGTACACCGACAAGTAAAGAATAATCCATTATTTTAAATGATTCTAAAACTGTACAATCACGTTGAATAGTTCTTATTAATGCGCTATAAGTTTCTGACTCTAATAATATGCCATTAGGATGGTGCTCCATAAAGTCTAAATCCTTAAAGGTAGGTGATGACTTATTGCGTTCACTTTTCGAAGCTTTCCTTTTGTATGTTGAACCTTTTAAATCATACTTTAGATGCATTTTAACTGATGATGGCAATAAATTATTCATAACAACAAGCCGTACGTTTTTCGAGTTACATTGAAAACAATATAAACCAAAGAATTTTGGTAAAAGAGTTCGTGGATTTTGATTCAAATTCATATAATAACTAAAAATAAATAGGTTTGTTTTCAAATTTTCTAATCAAGTAATATTTTTTACCCTGGTAGTAATTTCTGAAGAAATTCTCCTTCTTTATGTTGAACAGTTTTTATAATAAACTCGTCGTCGTTCGTTAAATAGAATATTGAACCCGAAGCACCAGGATTTGATAATTCTCTCAAGGGTGCATAACACATTGACATCTAAAAACATACTTCTTTTAACTTATTTTGTTGTACACTGTAACTGATCTTACCATAAAGTCGTCTGGTCTAATTCCAAACAAGTCTCTAAAATAACGAAAAGCGATAGGAGCGTATATTTTAAATCTAAATTCACTAAAATGATGTGCCGGTGTTAAAGTAGAGCCTTCTGGGGGAAATATTATAGATTCGATTTCCCAAAAATCCATCATCAGTAAATCACGTTTCGGTTTTGACGCTAAGCTTCCTACCTGTGGGGTATAAAAATTCTTATGGTTAGGTAAAGTGACAAAATAAAACAAAAATTACAGTATGCTGTATGCCTAATTGAATGGAACCCATTATCTGCGAAGTTTGTATTTTTTTATATGTTATCTCCCCACCTTCTCCAACCCGCCTGTGGCCCAACTTTCTTTCCTTATCAGCCTTCGCCCTTGCACGCTAAATTTAAAATTCATGAATAAGAAAATTTTATTTTTTTTTCCTTATACTTACGTCAATTGCTTTCTCATCTTGAGCATTTTTATCTGAAAAGATTAAATTTTTTGAAAAAAATATAACTAACATTAATACTTAAAGGTTAAAATAATTATTGACTATTTCACTATTTTTATAATTTTAGTTATTTTTACATTCATAGTTATTATTTTAAATTAATAGTCATTTTAAAATAAAATCCTCTAACTACTTATTACTTAATGAGAAATATTGATATTTCAATTCTATACACGTCAAAATCTATTTTCTATTAATAAAGGAATTTTAGCCAAAGTGATGTTTAAAACTTATTACAAACCTTGTTTTAGGAACAAAACTATTTTAGCTTAAGTTATATATAGTAACTATTTCAATATATATTTATGTATCTATAAAATTATTCACTCACCTAGATCACTAGTTCTTGATTCACTTAATCTCTTAGAAGAATATGATTCGATTTCACCTTTAATATCTGAATCTGTGTCCATTGTATTAAATTGATTCCATAATAATTTGATTTTTCTACTATATATTAAATTTGCCTTAAAATAACAGCCCAAAGCAAGAATATTAAATTTATTTTTCACCAAGTCTGAAAACTGAAAAATCTTGACAACTTTTTGACAAATGTCAATGTCAACGAGCACAAATATTTCCAATATTACCATATCCTCTCATATAATGGAAGGCAGTAGTGGTTATTAAATTTGGTGTGGCAAATTCATTGAGTCATTCAAAAAACCTAAGTTCTTTTTTAAAAATTTCTTGTAAGATTATGAGGATATAGAAATCGAAAAAAATTTAGAATTTTTATAGTTGTCATTTCAAAAATACAAGGAAAGTATTGTTACGAAATTAAATCATGTATTGAGTCAAGATATTTTAAGTCATGCACCTATTTCTGAACAAAAATTTTTACATAAATTAAACATTGGTATTTATTTATACATACATATGCACGTATATTATATTTATATTCATTACTGTAACGTTTTTTTTTCAGAAATAACGGTTTACTTATTTTTAAAATTTCAACATTGGTTTGGTCCAATAATAATAAATTGTAGTTTTATTAAGGGTAAATCTTTTATTTGAAAAAGTCTTAAATTCAGTAATACATGCAGAGTCAGTTTTTGATTTCTGATTTTGGATAGTAATAAAATATTAATCTTGTTACATTTTATGGACGAGCCAATAAAATTACTAATTTTTTTAGTAAATTCTGTCAATTTTTTTTTTTAGAATTATATTTCCATAATATTGAATTTTAATATGCAAAAAAATAATTCAAAAAAAAAATTTATTTATTATTCCGTATTTACAATCTTAGAACAGACCTTTTATATAATCCCTATAAGAATTCATCATATATAAACTATGTATATATGTACATACATATGTATATACTTGTGTTGTGTTCTGCCTATTTTAATCTCTCTCGCCAGCGTCCATTCACTTTGATTTTGGTAAAGTTTATTTAAAATCAAAGCTTTTTTTTTATCGAATTTGTTTTTTTTTTCATTCCAACAAAACATAAAAAACAAAAGAAAAAAGAAATACGACGTGTTTTTGATCTTAACAAAACAAAAAAAAAAAGTTTTTCTTTTTCTTTTTTGTTTTGATTACTTTTAATTATCCTACTTTTTCTTACTATCCACTTTTATTTGTCTAATATCTATCCAATTTTAATTTATTCGTAAGATATTGTGCTTTGTATAAATTGAAGTCGATTATACCTGTACCAAAATAAAAGTTACTAAAATTTAGTTTTGTGAAACTTTATTGGAGAAGCCAACTCAATTTTTATTGAGCATATAATATATTGTATAGGAGATGATGCTATATTTGACGACGAATATTGTTTTTTAATACGTCAACAAGAAAGTTTATCATTTAGTAGACCTAAATCTCTTGAATTAAACGGACGCAATTCAGATATATAATTTACTTTTGAAAATTTACTTAAAAATAAAATCAAAATTGTAAAGTACTTACTTACATACATAACATAAAAATTAAAAAGTAAAAAAAAACCAGATTGTATGAAAACAAAAGTACGACGAATTTACTTCAATCTTTTGATTTAACAATTATTTTATTGAAAAAAAATTAAAAATAATACAAAACAAAGTGTTAAAAAATACTTTTTTCCAATAATTTGGCTTAGGTTTATATTGTAAATATTAAAGTAAGTATTACAGTAAAAATATAAAACTAACTTACCTTCAAATAAAATCAAAAACAAAATGTGAAAATTAAAACATGAAGAAAACAATATGATCATAAAATTTTTTTATTGATTTTCGACAAATGACTTTAAGTTGTTATTACAGCAATTATATTTTGAATATAATATTAAACTTACATACATACATACATACGTACTCTCGTATTCGTGTTGCAATAAATAGTTTAAATAAATTAAGCAATATTCATTAATAATTTGAAATACAATAGAATAAATCGGTGGAAAAAGTAAAATAAATTAAATATTTTAAATATTAAATTATTTTAAAAGTAATGGCAACATTGGGCATAGAAAATATATTTTACAAAATATATTTGGCATGATACATACCTATGTAAATATATAAGAGAAGTTTATATATGTATATAGGTATGTATCATGCCAAACTCTGTATTAAACCTTATTCTTCCTCTGATATTTTGTACTCTCATAACAGGTGGTTTTTATTAACTGTATGTCAAATAAAGCTTAAAAATAATTATTATTTGACAAATAATAATTAGGATGATACTTGTTGAGTAATAAATTTCACGTTTTAAATCTGAAAATGGGCAGGCAAGATCATGTAATTTCAAAATTTAACTCTTGTTCCGTGTACACCATTTCTTTGTTTTCGATTGTATCTTTGAAAAGCAACATAGCTCAGCTACAGTTTGTAATGGACCGGCAGAAGTATTTTAAAATTTGATCGATTAGATCCTTTGATTCAATCCTGTGTTTTCTTTAAATTAGAAACCCAAGTGAGTTTGAAAAACAGTTTATTTTTTTAGAATTTTTCAAAATTTGGTATGCTCACACTTTTATTATTAACAAAAATCATTAAAATTCACCTTACCTATTGCAATTAATAAAAAAAAGAAAGAACTTGCTAATAAAAAGTTTTGAATTACGGCAAACTTTTTTCTTATATGCACATATGTACATAGCTAAATTGTGTAAATTTTACTGCGAATATTTTATTTTCTAGCGTTTGCTTATAAAGAATGTAGAGCTCTATAGTTATACATATTTATTAAAATTATTACATCCATATGTACCTATATATATATATAGTATATTATTTTTGTATGTATGAAACGTTTTTTCGTAATCAATATGTAGCTCTTTACCTGTGCTGCACGCAATACTAATTGAAAATAAGCGGTTATTACATAAATAGCTTTTCAATTATTTACAAAATTTTTCTTCTCTGGCTTTTTAACTACAATCATTTAAATTTCTTCATTTACTTATGGACATAATATGTGTGTTTGTATATTGTACCAATAATATCAGTTTATCGAAGAAATAGAAATAAAACATAAACGTAATGGTTAAAAAAAATTTATAATTTGAGAATTTATGAAATAAAAGTATATGTAGTTGTATGTATGTACATATATGTATATGTATAAAAAAAATATTATAATATTCAATATGCAAAACGGTTTTTAATAGATGGGCATGTTGATATGTATATACAATTATTATTAAACAATATAATATCAAAAAATTGGGTCAGGTCACATTTTAAAAAATAAGTTTAACAGAAAAAATATTTATAAATTTGTTCGACACAAAATATATAATTTTGAGATTTTTATATCTTTTATCAGAACAATCAAGACAGGTCCATCCATTGATTTCTCATATATGATTTCTCAAATTTTAAATATATTTAATAAAAAAATTTATTATAATAACTTTACCATTAGTTTTTAAAGGTATTATTGTTAAAAGGAATTCGAAAATCAAAAAATATCAAATTTGAAAATATTAATATTAAACTCTGTTATTCATATTCACTTATATAAGATTTCCTAACATATTAGTTATATTTATCCTAAACTACGCACTCCAATTAGTACAAAGTTTATTTCTTTTCAATCCGACCAAATAGTCTCTTAAAAATCGTAAATGTCAAATGTGAAATATGAAAAATTATTAAAAATATAGAAATTCTACTGTACAAATGGTGTGTATATAATTTTTTCTTTTTTTTAACGGTAAATTGCTTTTCTAATAAATTTATTTTGTAATAATATTGTTGAATCATTTTTAATTTATTCTACGCTAACAACGTCCAAGTACATGTATTTACTTCATAATATTTTAAATACAAATACGCACAAGTAAGCACATAATCACATTTTTATTTTTATATTCAATAACATTTTGTTTTTCGTCAAGAATTAAAGTTTAAGTGTAAATTTAATATTTTTATTATCATTCTAGAAATTGCATCAAATTTATTTATCTTTGTTATTTATTTATTTAAGTTAAAAAAAAGTTTTCATTGCAAAAAAATCTAATTACATAAATATTAATAATCTAGTAAAATTTGTTAAATTATTGGATTCTGTAGGTACTTTTAATTAAATACTTTTGATATTTATTTTAATTATAAATTCACAAAATTCGTACATTTATTATAAAGGCAAGTTACTGTGTTCTATAAGAGAGTAAAGACATTGTGATATTGTTAAGAAATATTTATTATAATTTTAGTTAATTTTGTCGTAAAAGAAAAATTCTGAAAGGCATCCTAAGAGTTAAGTTTTTCTTACTTTTACAATAAATAAAAAGTGAAATATAAAAATATTCATCATTGAAATTTTAAAATTGTTGTGCCGAGCTTTTATTTTTTTTTTTGTTGTTATAAAGAGTTGAAACACTAAATAGAATATTAATTATTAATTCAACTTGAAAAAATATTTGATTTAACAAGTTATACATACTTACATATGTGTGTATGCATGACTGATTAGCTATTACATTATTTAATTACAATTTACATTACATACATCAGATAGTACCAGTGAGTTTTACCAGTTAAATATCTTGATAAACTTGAAAATAGGACCTAGTAAGGTCTAAATTTGGATATATGTATGTGTGTATAAATAAAAACAAATATACACATATTTACAAACACTTTAAATAAAAGTAGTAAAAAAATAAAATTTCTGAATATACAATATTTTTTTTAAAAAGAGTAACATAAAAAGAATTTTGTTTTTGTTATAAATTGTTAATAATCTTATAAAATTTATTTTATTTCAGATTGAAAAATTTTTGAATCAAAAATGGGAAAGCTTACTCACAAAAAAGAAAATGAAATTATTGACATTGGTAAGATTTTATGAAAATTTTATACTTTGTAAACTTATACAAAATTGTTTGCCTATCTGTACATAATTTATTTAAAATGTATATAATTATGTACATACATACATATACACATATACATATGTATGGGCGTGTAGGTTAATAATAAAGAATAGCCCATGTAATAGAGTTGAAAATGATTCAAATTTGGTACGAGTTAATATTATTATTTTAAGAATTTAAAATAGCAAAATTTCTATTCAAGCAGAAAATGTGAAAAATCAGTTTAAATGT